GGACCTCTTTCGGTTCATCTTGTTTCAAACTCTGTGCTCCCTGGACTTGTATGTTTTTTCCTTCACCAAGTTAGGGAAGGTTTTGATAATTCTTTCTTCAAATGGGTTCTTGATCCCTTGCTCTCTCTCTTCTTCTTCTGGTACCCCTGTGATGTGAATGTTGTTCACTTCATGTTGTCCCAAATATTTCTTAAACTATCTTCTTCTTTTTTTTTCTTTTGCTTCTCTGATTGTTTTTTCTACCTTATCTTCCAAATTGCTCATTCAGTCTTCTACTTCTACTGTCTAGTGTATTCTTCATTTCAGATATAGCATTCTTCATTTATGACTGGTTTTTATGGTTTCTGTGTCCTTTTTCAAGGAAATCATGTTGTAGTTCTCACTAAGTTCTTTGTAGTTCTTATTAAGTTTCTTTGAGCATCCTTATAGCCATTGTTTCTAAACTCTGTATCTGATAAGTTGCTTACCTCCATTTCTCTTAGGTCTTTTTCTGGAGATTTCTCTTGTTCTTTCATTTGGGACATGTTTCTTTGTCTCCCCATTTTGGCTGCCTCTCTGTGTTTCTTTCTGTGTGTTAGGTAAATTTGCTATAGTTGTCAGGGTGAGGCCAGTGGAATTTATCAGGCCCAACAAGACCAAAATTTGACCATGTAAATGGAGGGCTGTGCACTGGTCAGGCATACAGAGGAAATAAGGCCCCCATCCTAGAGCCACACAACTCAGTCTGTCCTAACTTCTTTTCAGAGCATGATCTCAGCAGGGGGTGGTAGTTCATCTCCCATGAGGGGTAAGTGCCAATAAGCTTGTGGGAAGGTAAAAAGGGTAGTCCCCACCCAAGAGCCACACAGTTCAATCTGTCCTGGATTCTTCCCAGCCCTCAGCAGGGCAGAGCCTCCAGAAGTCAGGAGGATGGAGCCACTGGGTTGGGCTTGTGGACCTTCTGTGAAGGAGAGGCACCAGTCAGTTTCAAGGGAAGATGTAGGAAATTGCTCCCACCCCAAAGTCACACAACTCAATCACTGATGCCCCCTGAGTCCAGATCTCTATACCTTGACCCAGGCAACTGACTCCTCAGCAGGATGCAAATTCCACATGAATGGGTAGCCGGGAATCCAGAGGATAGGGCTATTGCATTCCCCCAATCTGATGCTTTAGAGAGGGGAGTGCTCCATCTGAGAAAGTTGTCATCTGTGGTGTGGGAGCAGAACTCAGCTCAGGGATCCTGGTGGCTGTCCCTTCAGCTCTGTCCAAGAGCCACAAACCCCAGTCTCTCCTCATGTGACTCCAGGGTCCTTCCAGCAGAGCCTAGGGTGAGGGTCTGTAAATGAGATTTTGTGTATTGCCCTTTAAGAGGGCACCTATGTCTCTAGCAGACATCTGTCTCTCCCTGGTGGACAGAATCCCCACTGATTTTCATTGCCAGATGTTACACGGGTGCCTTTTCTTGGCTCTGGTGCTCTAGACTGGGGATCCAAGCCTGGGGTTGAGATCCCACGTTTCTCAGGTGGAACTCCATAGCTGAGATATCCTTTTGGAATCTCAATCACTGCCCATGGGTGAAAAGAGCAGCCAGCTGTTTTCACATATCCACTCTCCCTACTAGTCTCGATGTAGCTTCTTCTGTAACTCCTTGATTATAAGACTTCTCTTCAACTAGTCTTCCATTGGTTATTTAGATTGTTTGCTCTATAATTTAGTTGTAACTCCAGGTTTTCCCTGGTATGAAGTAAGTGTACCTTCCATTTATTCCACCTCCATCCTGGATCCTTCTATCTTATGCATTTTTTGACATTAGATATTACTACATAAATACGTGTCTATAAACAATATGTTTTTAGCATGTTTTAAAATAGTTGGTATTGTCCTGTGTATATGTCATTCTGCAATAATATAAACCATATTATAAAATATTATTTTAATGTTTAGCCATATTGACATCCACTGTATAATAATTTATTGTATGGGTATACCACAATTTATCCATTTCTCTTTCAAGGAAATTTAGGCTTTTCACATTTTTCCAAATAATGCCACAATTTACATTCTTGTGGGTGTTTCTCTGGGGAAGTGGTCTTTAGACTTTTCATCATATTCAATAAAAATATTTTGAGCACACAACCACAATGGATGAATATCACATCCTTTATAAATTTGTACATATAACCAACATATAACTGTACCAAATTAATATGTGCCTCATAGCAATATAAAAAAAGAAGTATAAAAAATGAGAAAAGTAAACAAACAATATTTTACAAATATTTTTATTCATTATAGGTACATAAATACTTAGTGTAGATAATGTGAATGTATGCTTCATTAGTTTCTTTTAAAAATCTCAATTTTAAGTCTTGAAAAAAAAGTTATGCAGAGTCCTGGTTTTAAGTTAGGTGTATTTCAATCCTGTCATACTGACAAAAATACTTTAAGGAGGGAGTGAGGGTGAGACATAAGTGGTCTTAAGTAGATTCAAAAAGAAACCTTCATTTAAAAAGTAAAATTTCAACAAAAACTGCTTAAACAACTGGAAATTCATATGCAGAAGAGTAAAGTTAAATTTTCCCGACCTGATACCATGCACAAAAATTAACTCAATGGATCATAAACCTAATAAAATGAATATAATAAAATGTAGAAGAATAACAGGAGTAAATGTTTGTGACCTGGGTTAAGTAATGGTTTCTTAGGTATGAAACAAAAAACATAAGCAACAGAAGAAAACTACAATAACTTGGACTTCATCAAAATTGAAAACTTTTGTGCTACAAATGATATTATCAAAAAAGTGAAAAGACAACTCACAGAATGAGAAAAATATCTGCAAATCATAGATCTGATGAGACTTATATTCTGAACACACAGGGTCTGGCACAAATAATACCCCTTTTATTATAAAATCTCTTATTACAAAATCATGAGCATGTAATTCTATAACATAAAAATATCACACTCAAGCACACCATATGACATTTTAGGTGAAATGTTCAAATTAAATTTATAAATTACTACATCCATATTATTACCCTACCAACCACACTCAAGCAAGCATTACTTCTGCTAGATGCTGTATAAAGAATTCTTACAGGTCAGTAATAAAAGGACAGATATCCCAATTTTTTACAGGGGCAAGTATTTAAACTGAAATTTTTCTAAAGAAAATATACAGATGGCCAAAAACCCATGGAAAGTTTCTTAAAATAATTAATCGTTAGGGATAACTATGATTCAACAAATGAAAAACCAAAACCATAATGAGATACCACTTCAAACAGGCTCTATTTTTTTTTAATTAGACAATAACAAGTCTTGGTGAAGATGTGGTTAAATTGGAATCTTTGAAAACTGCTGATGGAAATGTAAAATGATGCAGCCACTTTGAAAAACTGTCCCTCAAAATGTTAAACAGAGTTACCACATGATCAAGCAATTTCACTCCTAAGTATATGCCCCAAAGAAATGAAAACATATGTCTACCCCAAAACTTCTAGATGAATGCTCATAGCAGCATTACTCACAATAGACAAAATGTGGAAACAACTCAAATGGCCATCAAGTGATAAACAAACTGGGATCCATCCATACAATGGAATATTATTTAGCCTTAAAAAGGAATGAGGTACTGATATATGTTATGAATGCACCAAAAACATTATGCTAAGTGAAAGAAGCCAATCAGAAATACTCCATACTATATGATTCAATTTACATGAAATGGCAGGCAAATCCATACACACACAGAGCAGATTAGTGGTTGCCAGGGACTGGAGAAGGAACCATGAAGAGTCACTGCTAATTAGTTTGCATTTCTCTTTGGAGTGATGAGAATTAGATTGTTGTGATGGTTGCACAACCCTGTGGATGTACTAAAGCCACTGAATCGTATACTTTAAATGGGTGAATTTTGTGGTATGTAAATTTATCTCACAAAGCTGTTTAAAAAAATCAAAAGGAACCAACCACTAGGTGCCTTGGTTATTTTTTAAGGAACTGATCCCATCTTGTTATTTTCTCAGCTGGTTCCCATTCTCCATACCTCATTCCATGATCAGTTTGTAGCCTTAGATTCTGGCACTCCTAAGAGGCCTAAGCTAACTTGAGCCTTAACAAGGACTGACTGGGCCTGATCACAATTAATAGAGCATAAGAGACCTTGGATCTCTGCTCTCCTCACCCTTCAAAGCACTCAGTGTGTTTGCTACTTATGCTCTATTTTCTATTGTTTAAAACACATCTGATATATATGATGTTGCTTTTTTCAGTTTATTTTATTCTTTTTGATATCTTATACAGGCTGAGATGTATGTCAGGAAGATAATAATACTCTAGTATAGTACTCTAGCCTTATGGCGAGATTATTTAGAGTCTTTTAAGTTACAAAGCCAGGCCCCAGATGTAAGTTCCTAAATTCATACTCTTTCCACTGTCTCTTTTGAGTGGTTCATCTTAATCTTTGTTAAAAGCAGCTTTGAGTGTTTGGGGCCATATTAATTCTATCTATTAGGTTCCTTGGCACACATATCAGGTTCAGTTTCCTATACTAATTACCTATTGAACTACAACACATCAAATGCCTAAGGATGTCAGGGCCTGAGTTTAATTCATAAGTTCCCATCAATTTCTGCTTTTTGTCCTCCACCACTTTAGCTCTAAAGTTGCTGAAGCAAGGAACACAATGGCATAGCTACCTTCTTGAGAGGAAAGAGATCAGTACCTGTTTCAGTCCATGTTTAACATCCCAAACATCCTTGAAATAGTTCCTAGTTACAAAGTACTTAGAACAGTTCCTGGTATTTAACTACATTAAAATTTTAGGTGTGTTCTTATGCAAGGGCAAGCCTGGGGTTGCTTACTTTCTGCCTTTACTCTAGAAATCTAGGAGATTCTAAAGTAAACATCTTCAATTCCTTCTAATAGGAAGTATAGCTTACTTCAGGTGCTGTGATTTAGAGCTAATCATTCCTTAGTCCAGTCACAAGACAGATTCCTGTTTTCTGTTTCAGGTTTGTAAATGCTTTTGGTGAGGAGAGCTTCAATGCCACAATGGATGGGAAAGTATATACAAATGTCACCAGCCACAATGCCAGCATATATCAGTTTTTTCCTTCTGGCATGTAAGTACCTATACTAGACAGTTTGTTCCAAAGTTCAAGGATTTCAAGTCTTATTCTTTAAACAATATATTGAAGCTTTTTCAAAATTTTTATTGTTATTCTATTACAGTTATCTGAATTTTTCCCCCTTTGCCCTCCTCCACCCAGCCCATTCCCTTGCTCCCACAGTCACTCCCCACACTGTTGCCCATGTCCATGGGTCATTTATACATATTTTTTCACTAGTCCTTCCCCTTCTGTCCACCATTATCCCCCTCTCCCCTCACCTCTGGTCACTGTTAGTCTATTCCATGTTTTCATGCCTCTGAATATATTGAAGCTTTTAATACCTAGAATGTTAACCTATATTATTCTTTCTTTCCATAGGAAAAATATCACACTAAGCTCCTCAGAGATTCCAGGGAACTGCAACAATACTTTTACATCCAGCCTTAGTTTTGGTAGTGCATATACCTATGTAATCATCAAGAAGGTTAGTAACCCATTCAATCAAATCAGAAGTGCTTCTCAAACTTTCTTCACCTGAGTCCTCACAAACACTTAGGACATAGTCATGATTTAAATTATTATTAAGATCTGTACTTTAAATGGTGTTGGAACAGGGGTGTCAAACTCATTTTCACTGGGGACCACATTAGCCTCACGGTGCCTTCAAAGGGCTGAGTGTAATTTCAACTCCTTAACAGTTAAGTAGTTACATTTAAACAGTTCTAAAATTATTTCAGCCCTTTGAAGGCAACCATGAGACTGATGTGGCCCCTGATGAAAATGAATTTGACACTCCGCCTTAGAATTAATTAAGTTTACCACCAAGTCTTTACTTAACATTGACTTAGGTTCACCATTAAAATAAAACTGAACTCAAGCCCTGGCTGGCATAGCTCAGTGGATTGAGTGCGGGCTGTGAACCAAAGTGTCGCAGGTTCGATTCCCAGTAGGGTACATGCCTGGGTTGCAGGCCATGACCCCCAGCAACCACACATTGATGTTTCTCTCTCCCTCTCTCTATCTCTATCTCCCTCCCTTCCCTCTCTAAAAATAAATAAAATCTTCAAAAAATAAAAAATAAAATAAAACTGAACTCACTAATAGTTCACGTTGACCAGTATTTGATACTTCTAGTTCACAGAGATGGCAATGTTTTGAACAAAACTGACTGCCAATCTACTCTCTTATTTAAGGGGAAAACACTAGTGAACATATTTTCAAATCCCATGATGGCTATCTCATCCCAAGTATAAAACATAATGTTGTGTATTTACATTGAAAATATGTACTTGATAAATCATTTGACATAACCGTAAAATCAAAATTCAAATTGCTAGTTTGAACAATTTTTACTTTAGAAGCAATCTTGATTTTAATTTATTTTTCTCACTTTTGCTTTATTGATTTAGGGTGATGGCTGCCCTGAACTGAAAGAATTTGAAGATATTTCACCCAATTCAGTTAGCATGGCTCTGCAAATCCCACAGTATTTCCTCCTCACCTGTGGGGAGGTGGTTTTCTCTGTCACAGGATTGGAGTTCTCATATTCTCAGGTTTTTTGTTTATTGGTTTTACGACCCTTCCTTTAAACCTCTGCCTTCAAAATGCTGCTGGGCCTTCATTTAAATCTGGGTTAGCCATATATTTATAATGTAAAATAATTCTAGAAAACATTATGGTATATTCCACTAAACAAGGTTTTTGAGGTCACCATGCGTTGTCTTTATATTGACTACAAATATTACTGTTTAATTTCATGAGTGCATATATTATACATGTCTATATTCCCACAGTCATACACAGAGGTTTATACTTTTAGTAGGAAAAACTGTATTAACAATGGTTACAAAGGTCATGATAATCAGGTAACTCTGCATTCTGAAACAACCAAATGGTATCAATAATTCATAACAGTGCTCATTTTCAGGTCTCTGTTCTCACTATCTTTAAGGTTCATTTGAGGTCTCTCTGTAGCTCCTAATAAACATACTGATTAAGGCCTAGATTTTAAACATTAAAAAACTATTACTTTATGTATATATACTAATGAGGCAAATCTTGCTGATACCCTTTGTAGGGTTTAATTTCTGAATGATTTTATCAAAGCTAGTTATAGTAATTATATCCCCATAATATCTAGTACCTTCAAGTTTTCAGTAAAGATTGTAAATATGAGCTAGATAACCCCTTTCTGTGGTGACCTCAGTCTAATAAAGGAGATGACATAAAACAGGTAACAACAGTTTGAAGAGAGGTTTTGGTGATGTGGCAGGGAAGCTCACAGAAGAGGAAACTTATAGCCTCCAGACAGCAGCCTCCATGGGATGGGGGAGAGTGTCATGCTGGATGTCTTTACTTGGAGACTTCTGCAGAAATAGAATCAGTTCATCTGTAGAGTTGTCTGTTTAACTAGGATGGCAACTTTGTGAGTATGTGGAGAGGGAAAAACAAGGGCTTCTTGCATGTTTGTACAACTTGAGGATTTAGAGTATCTTGCTACCAAAGCAATTATTTCTTTTACATTCAAGTCAGCCTGACTTCTAATGTGCATTTTTAGCATGACTGCTTAATTAAATTAATTGGTAAATTGTATTCTCCTGCTGAGGTTGAGATCTGGATTGGGATTCTCTTTGCTTTGCTTCTTCAGGCTCCTTCCAACATGAAGTCAGTTCTTCAAGCAGGATGGCTGTTGACAGTGGCAGTTGGCAACATCATTGTGCTGATTGTGGCAGGAGCAGGCCAGTTCAGTGAACAGGTACGAGGTAGAAAAGGGGATGTACCTTTGTGTTATCTATCAGTGGTCATCAAGACGTCCCTCCCTAGCCATCTATATATACATGGTCATCTCAGCTACTGGATGAATAAAACTGCCAGACTGGCCAGATAGGGTAGCTACCAAATGGTCTTATGGCCAAGCATGTGCTAATTCTTATTTCTACTGGGAGTTATGCGTTTGAAAATTGGCAACCAAAATAACCAGATTGGATTAACGTACATACACCCTAATGTCATTTACTAGCAAAGAAAAGATCTTTCTTAGCTTCAGTGAATGTAAGTTAATAATCTCAAACTAGACATGTTATCTAGAAGTTGTCATAATTACTAAAGTTAAAGTCATTCTAAAGATTGTTGTGATTTTTTTTCCAACTAAAATAAAGGGTTTTTTATGATCCTTAAATTCTCTCCTTCAGCACATCAGCATATCTACCCCATAAGGGAGTTATGCCATACTCCACCCCATCAGTTTCATTACCTCCTCTACTGGGTCCCCTCAGAGTGTGCTTATGACCTCAGGGTACTGGCAAAGGATAACAGGGGGCTCTTAACTTCAAACAGTTCAATATATTCTTTTTCTTTCAAGTACCTGGTGTTCTCTTGATCTCCATCCTTTCAGGGGCTAACTATGTACCTTAAGACTTGAGTTTTTCAGAAATTTTGTGTTGTCTTCCCAAAGTCTCATGTTCCTACTTTCCAGTGTTGTTAGAAAAATGTTATCTTGATCCTCGAGCATTCACAAAATACTAGCCCTTCTGTATCAGTGGTGATAACTGACCATTCTATATCTATAGCATAAGCCTACCAATTTTCCCTAACAATTTCAAACCACCTTTCATCTGGACATAGCAAGAAAATATACATGTGCTATATAAACTACTATAACTGATATTGTTTTTGTTTTTTTCTTGCTCCATCTCCAATTCCTTCAAAGTGGGCTGAGTATATTCTGTTTGCTTCATTGCTTCTGGTTGTCTCCATAATCTTTGCCATCATGGCTCGATTCTATACTTACATCAATCCAGCAGAGATTGAAGCTCAATTTGATGAGGATGAAAAGAAAAAGAAGCCAGAAAACCTATATAGCACATTGGAACCCACCTCACAGTCACAGATGTGAATGTCAGGAAGCCAATGGAGGATGGATTGGGCCCAGAACATACCCTGACTTCTGTCCGAAAGTGGCAGGACACTGTTGGATGGCCCCTGATGGGGGAGACTTAAGAATTATGAGCCAAACCAAGAAAGCAATTTTTGAAGTAGCCATCGGTGAACCTAAAACTCTGGAAGAAGTCTTTTTTAAAAAGTCTTATTTAAGTATGCATGTGTGCACACACACACTTTTACACACTAAAAGCCTATCCTGCATTTAACTCCTTTCCTATCACACAAATAAAGTTATTTTAGACTAACTTAATTTTTGAAAGGATGACAAAATTTCCATATCACTTGTATTCTAACACTGTATGAAAACAATGTTAACCAAGGCCAAGACAATGTGAAAGTGAATTTATAGGTTTAAGGATGGTGTATAATAAGCTAGTATTAACTGATACCTTTACCTTTTTTTTCCAGTCCCTACCCCTTTTAAAATTATGTGTAACTCAAAAGATCACTCAATAAAAGCCAGTAATGACTTTTGGAGTCTCAATGATATGAAATAAGTTCCCACTCAAGAGAATAAGTTTCTCTGTGCTTTTGGGTAGAGTAAGAAATTCTTAACATGTTTTCTGATTATTAAAGCTGTACACACATTAAAATTTCATCAGAAGTTGGTAAAAGCATGAACAAAAGACATGCCCACATATAGTAAATTCCAGGAACATGAGATATAGAGGTTTGTGTCTTCCTGGTTTTATTCTCTCCAGGGATAGATAGATATACTTCTTTTATTACTATGATCTTTCTATGTGCATGTTTATATACCATCTCAAAGTGTTTTTCTTGATATTCATTAGCATTTTCTGCTTGAATAAAAATTCTTCCAAAACATTATAAACGCTTAATGCCTAATTTATTCTATAGGTACTTATCATTTAACCATTCCCAGGTTTCAGAGCCAAAAAAAATCCATGTTGGTACTCTTGTAAAGAGAAGCAACTCTTCTTAGATAACTTGTGCACAGCTCTCAATGTAGAAACTGGTCCCTGGGTTCAAAGAGAGGGCCCACGTTAGACATGCTTCATGCACAAATTTATTGCACTGTTGAGATAGAATGAAGCTGGCGGAGGAAGTAGGAGACTCAAAATCCAGAGCAAGAAACACACATGTGATCACACCTTCCTGAAGACCTTTTTCACCATTAGGATCAAGTGCTCATTCTTTAACTCAGGCCCATGAGGCTCCTTTTTCTCTGGACATACCTCCTTTCTGCTCACTCCAATCTAACCAACATTGAGTTTCTTCTAGTTCCTGGAATGCACCAACTTCTTACTTCCAGGTCAAAGGCTAAAGAAAAAACAGGTCCTGAGACACTTATTCTCTACCTACTGTTCACCCTTCCCCTCCACCTGGCTCAGTACTCTTCATTTGCAGGATTCAGCCCAGTTCCTCCAAAGGCTTCTCTGTCCCCATTCCCCTGCTTTAAGCTATATCTTCTTTGAGGTCTCTGCCATCGCACACCCTAAGCGTACTATAACTATGTAGCTTTCCCTGGGCTGAAACTTTCTACATGTACTCTGTTCTGTGTTCATTCTCTGTGAATGTAGGTCTCTACATGTTAAATAAAATTTTTAAACTTCTTGGGCTATGAAGAGTGAGATGGAAGAGGAGAAAAACTGAACATTCAATAATGATTTGAATGGGCCTAATTAAAGGACTTGAATGTGACAGACTAGCTATAAGGGGCAGCTAATTTTGCTTCTCTGATCATTTCTACCTTGTAATTTCTATCTTTTGCCTTTGATGGGTAAACCAATAGTTATAGTAATGAGCACTCAGTTTTCATTACTTCTCTTGTCAATAATCAAAAGAAAACTAATCCTAAATCTGCAAATGATATTCTAGTTCTAACACCTCTTATAGCCTCAGGGAACTTTGAGCCACTCTGGATCTTTTTTTTTTAATTAGTATGCATTTTTTAATTTTATTTAAATTGTTGTTGCAGTACAATTTTCTATCTTTTACTCCCATTCCAACCCACCCACCCAGCCCTCCCCTCCTCCCTCCCATTTCCACCTGCTCCTAGTTTTTATCCATGTGTCCTTTATACTTGTTCCTGTAAACTCTTCCCCTTTTCCCCTGAAATTCCCTCTCCTCTCCCCTCTGAACTCTGTCAGTCTGTTCTTTATTTCAGTGTCTTTGGTTATATTTTGTTTGTTTCTTTGTTTTGTACTCTGGATCTTTTAGATCTTATTTTCTTCTCCTTCAAAACAAAGAGAACGCTGGTTGATCTGAGGTCTTAAAAATTCTTTGTTCAAGAGTGTCTGGCACACAATAGGCTTCCAAATATTTGAATGAAGGCCTGCCCCTCTATGAACTCTGATCTTGACATTATAGATGGCTTTTGTGTATGGATGGAAATTACTCCTATATCATATTCATTGGCCTTTAAATAATATGATGAAGCATGGAGGAGAACAGGGACACTTGGCTCATCAGGGTTCAGTTTTCAGAGTAATCTTCTAACTGTAATCAGAACTGATGGTGTTCTGGATGTGAGACTTTAGACAATAACAAACATCATGGGGTATGGGTGGCAAAGGGGTACACATGAGGCCAGATCAATAACTTTGGGTCTTCTACCCTTTCCTCAGCTCCCATTTTTTTGTGCTTCATGCCCTTCTGTACATTCTGAGCTGATCAGTGTATAATCAAAATACTAGACTTGAAAAATTGACTGACTCTTAAAGTACAATTCAACATGGGTTGGTGAGCATGGAAATACTTTCATTGAAAATAGCAGGGCTGCTCTGGCCAGATAGCTCAGTTGTTTGGAGCATCATCTCGATGCATTGAGGTTGCAAGTTTGATCCGCAGGCAGAGCACATATAAGAATCAACCAATAAATGTATCAATAACTGGAATAACAAATCAATAGTCTCTCTCCTTCACCTTTTCTATCTAAATCAACAATTTAAAAAAAAATTAAATAGCAAGGCTTTATTGTTGATATTAAAAAGGTATATTATTTATACTGAATATACTGAAGAATATTGTGAGAAGAGTTTATAATGTTCATATGAATCTTTTAAATTAAATAACTTATTTATTTACCTTCAACATTATTAATTTTTTATTAAGACTGCTTGCAAATTTTAGGGTTTTCTGTGGTTCCAAATTAATTTAAAGATCATTCTGCTGGTTCTGAAAAAAAAATGAGTATTTTTTATTATATATTTTCCTTGGGATCCTTTCCTTTTTTTTTCTTTTTTCTTTATTTTATTTTATTGTTCAAGTACAGTTGTCTGCATTTTCCTTCCACAACCCCCACACCCCAGCTATCTCCACTTCCCTTCCCTGATTCCACCCTGCCCCCCTTGGTTTTGTTCATGTGTCCTTTATAGTTGCTCCTGAAAGCCCTTACCCCCTTCCCCCAGTTATCCCCTCCCACCCCTCCTCTGGTCACTGTCAGCCTGTTCTCAGCCTCCTCTGGTCACTGTCAGCCTGTCTTTGGTTATTATATCTTGGTTCCCTGTCTGTTTTGTTCATTACATTCCACTTAAAGGTGAGATTATATGGTATTTGTCCCTCAATGCCTGGCTTGTTTCACTTAGCATAATGCTCTTCAGTTCGATCCGTGCTGTTGCAAAGGGTAGGAGCTCCTTTCTTCTTTCTGCTGCATAGAATTCCATTGTGTAAATGTACTATAGCTTTTTGATCCACTTACGTACTGATGGGTGCTTAGGTTTTTTCCAGCACTTGGCTATTGTAAATTGTACTGCTATGAACATTAGGGTGCATAGGTTCTTTTGAATTGGTGTTTCAGGGTTCCTAGGATATATATAATCTAAGCAGTGGAATTGCTGAGTCAAAAGGCAGATGCATTTTTAGTTTCCTGAGGAAATTCCAACTGTTTTCCACAGTGGATGCCCCAGTCTGCATTCCCACCAACAGTGCGCAAGGTTCCCTTTTCTCCACATCATTTCTAACACTTGTCTTTGTTGATTTATGATGGCCATTCTGACTGGTGTGAAGTGGTATCTCATTGTGGTTTTAATTTGCATCTCTCTGATGGCTAGTGATGCTGAGCATCTTTTCATATGTCTCTGGGCCTGCTGTATGTCCTCCTTAGAGAATTGTCTGCTCAAATCCTTTGCCCATTTTTTAGTTGGGTTGTTTGTCTTCCTGGAGTGGAGTCCTGTGAGTTCTCTCTATATTTTGGAGATCAAACCCTTGTGTGAGGAATCATTGGTAAATATGTTTTCCCATACAGTTGGTTCTGTTTTCATTTTCACGCTATTTTCTTTAGCCACGCCAAGCTTTTGATTTTGATGACATCCCAGTTGGGAGGGGGGGGTCTTTTGATTATTCTTTCTTTTATGTCTCTTGTTCTAGGGGACATATCAGTGAAAATATTGCTGTGTGGAATAGCTGAGATTTTCCTGCCTATGTTTTCCTTCAGGACTTTATGGTGTCACGACTTATAGTTAAGTTTTGATGATCAGGTTTCATTGTTTTGCATGTAGCTGTCCAGATCTCCCAACACCATTTGTTGAAGAGGCTATTTTTACTCCATTTTCTGCTTCTGTGCCCTTTGCCAAATATTAATTGACTTTACAGACTTGGGTTTATTTCTGAGCTCTCTAGTCTCTTCCATGGTCTATGTATCTGTTCTTATGCCAGTAACAGGCTGTTCTGATTAGAGTGGCCCTGCAATAGAGTTTGATATCAGGTATTGTGATCCCTCTTACTTTGCTCTTCTTTCTCAAAATTGCTGCAGCTATCTGGGGTCATTTATGTTTCCATATAGATTTTTGAAATTTTTGCTCTATATCTGTGAAATATGTCATTGGTACTTTAATAGGGATTGCATTAAATCTATTAATTGCTTTGGATAGTATGAACATTATGATGATGTTAATTCTTCCAATCCCTGAGCATGGTACATGCTTCCATTTGTTTGTATCTTTCTTAATTTTTCAGTGTTGTGTAGTTTTCTGAGTACAGATCTTTTACCTCCTTGGTTAGGTTTATTTATAGGTACAGTATTTCTCTTGTTGCTATATCAAATGGGACTTTTTTCCTGATTTCTATTTCTGATGTTTCATTGTTGGTGTACAAACATGCCTTTGATTTCTGAGTATTGACTTTGTATGCTGCTGTTTTGCCAAATTCACTTATTAAGTTGAGCAGTTTTTTGGTGGAGTCTACAGGATTTTCTATGTACATCATCATGTCCTCTGCAAACAATGACAATTTTGCTTCCTCCTTTCCAATTCAGATGCATTTCACTTCTTTTTCTTGTCTGATTCCTGTGGCTAGGACTTCCAATGCTATGTTGAATAGGAGTGCTGAAAGTGGGCATCCTTGTCTTATTTCTGATCTTAGTTGGAAAGATTTTACTTTTTTGCCCACTGAGTATGATGTTGGCTGTAGGGCTCTCGTATATGGCCTTTATTATGTTGAGGAATGCTCCCTCTATTTCCACTTTGCTGAGTATTTTCATCATAAATGGATGCTGTATCTTATCAAATGC